TAGGGGTGGGGGGGGGGGGTAGTTCCTGCCGGGCCTTGTAGACAAAGATAGGGGACGGATTTTGCTCTCAGTTCAGTGAAGAGCTGCAGAGGGGTTCGAGCAAGCACAGCATGATTGTGTTTGCCGGGTGAAAGCCCCTCTAGCTCTGGTGGGAGAGTGGCTGAGAGTGCTGTGTGTGTACATGTTGGGGTGAGTGGGTGACGCTGGGGGCTTGGAGAGGTGACCCTGCTGCAGCTGCACTGGGGCTGGGAGAGCACGGAGAGGAGCCAACTCTGTATCCCAATTCTCCAGGCAGCCTGGGTGGCTGCCCTACCAACCCTGGCCTGTAAGAACTGCTTCAACGCTATGAATGGGCTCTTTGGTCGCCTGGGTGGTCCCAGCTCCACCCTCCACTTCCTCTGCGCCCTTGCCTCTTGGCAGGTGGAAGGAAGGCCTCTGATTCCTCCTCAGCTGACCTGGAGAATAATCCCTTACATTCATGAGATTCTCCTCTTGCCCTGGCTTCCTCCTCCCACGTCTCTGGGTAAAACAGAAATCAGATTCCCCTTGGGCAGATGAGGAGAGTGAGGCCAGGAAACAGGAGGGGACCCTCCCACGGTCATGAAGCCAGATGGGGACACCTGGTGGGGACACATTTCCTAATTCCCCATGCCTAGATTTTCATCAGGCACAGATGGCTCCAAGGCTTGGCTTGAAAAATCTTAAGTGACCCCAAAGACAATATAAGCCTAGGACATTCCAGGCCTCCCTGAGCTTGTCTTTTCTACTACGTTCAATTCTGTTGTTTTGTTTTGTTTGAGAGGGTCTCACTATTCAGTTCAGGTTGGCTTTGGACTCACTATTTAGCCCAGGTTAGCCTCACATTCAAGGTGATCCTCCTGCCTCCGCCTCCCAAGTGCTGGGATAATAGGTGTGCAACACCATATCTGGCTTAATTCTGAGTTTGTGCATGTTAAATTCCATGAGCAAAATCTTCTTATTAAAAATGAAAGTAAAGTTGGGCATGGTAGTACACACCTGTAAATCCAGTACTCTGGGAGTCTGAGGTAGGAGGATCACAACTTTGAGCCCAACCTAGATACCTTGGTGACTTAGTGAGACTGCCTCTCAAAATAAAAAATAATAAAAAAGGCTGGGGAGGCAGCTCAGTGCACAGACCGTGGGTTCAATCCCCAGTGCTACAAAACAAAAAAACAAAAACAAAGACCCCCC